AAACTGTTATAACTAGCCACATTTATATGTATTCAATACAAAGATTCATACTTCCTTCAGTTACATGGACTTGTTATGGGAAATCCATTATCAGTTATTTTGGCCACTCTTATCTTACATCACATAGAACAGGAACATCTAATCAAACGGTTATAATTAGCCACATTTATATGTATTCAATACAAAGATTCATACTTCCTTCAATTACATGGACTTGTTATGGGAAATCCATTATCAGTTATTTTGACCACTCTTATCTTACATCACATGGAACAAAATGCCATAGTCACTTACATATATGAGTCTGCATATTGGCTTATATATGTAGTTGACGTTTTTTGCAGCTTTACTTGTCAAGATGAACAGACACATTTTTTCCAACACATAAATAACTTACATAAAAATACAATTCACAGTGGAAAATGAAAACAACATGATAAATCTTTTAAACGTTAACATCACACGAACACCCCCAAGGCTTCACCACTAAAATTCATAGAAAAAAACGCATACAGCGGAAATAACTTAAACCGATTTTCTAATCACGTAATCCACCAAAACCTAGGCACTCTAAATAGCTTCCTAAATTTAGCATACACTATATGCACCACAAAACAAAGTAAACCTAATCACATGCACCATCCCATATATAGAAAATATTAGCATACCTGTATCAGAAATTTATAACCTTAACATAACGTCTAGATTCGTTTTCAATCTTGGAATGAAAATTAAACACATGTTTAGAAATTATGTAACGAACCCACCCCACTAGAAAACGTTTACAAAATAAATTGTAACGGTTCCCCAGCCTTTTACATAGGCGAAATAGGGCGTAACTTGAAGGTAGATTAAAAAAACACCACAAACCCATTTGCCAAGTCCATGAGTATATGAATAAAAACAAACAGTTTTTCTGAACAGGATGTCACAGTATTAAACCATTAACAGAATAAAAATCAGAGAAGCTTTATTAATAAAATCCAACAATCACACAATTAGCAACTACCCAGGCACATCTATATATGTCCCTGATCGTTATTTCCTCACACATTTTTAATCTTATGCAAATATTTTGCATAACACGATTCTTTTTTTTTTTTCATTATTTATTCATTTTTGGTTTGTTTGTTTTCTGTTTATCCATAAATATATAATCTATCAATCCACGTATTTAAGTAATTACTGTCGATTCTAAAATTTAAATACATTGTTAGATTGTTGAATTTGGATTTAAATACTAAAATGTTCTTTACCGTTAAAACTTGTGTATTGAGGGCGATCGCACCAGTGATCGAAACGTCGTACCTGCTTGAAAGATATATTCTACTTACAGTAAAAGCTGTAACTTAAATAAAAAAATACAATAAAAAGTTCAGCTATAGAACAATATGTACAAACAACACAACACAATTTTCTGGTATAAATCTACAGTCTTAGCTCAACTAAATAATGTTACATCTTTAAATATTCGAGAAACACTAGAACTGTAGTAACATTTAAATAAGAAAACAAGTATTTAATCGAAATGAAGGGCTGGCATCTCGCTTAACTAATATATGACATGACATATTGTAAATGTTGACCAGTGATTTATGCTAATAACTTTGTAACGTAATACCTCATGACATGCAGAAAGTATAAATTGTATTGTAAATAACTCCCGAAGACGACGTAGAAGTACGTCGAAACGTGTAACTTGTAGTGTTTTTAATTGGAATTCGTTGACGGTTTCATAAATATTTAATTGTGTAAATATGAAGCGTTGTATTTTAATTATTCATTCGATTTTAAACATTAAACAAGCGCCTATAGTTTACACTGTTGAAAATAGATAGTTTTAGGATTCACTCACCTGGTTGTCTTTCAATTTTAAACTTGTCCATATATATATAGTTCCCACAAAGTAATTTGGATTTTTATAATATCAATGAACATCAAGTCGTACATATTCTTTAAATTTTATTTTTGATAACGAAACAACCGTTTTCTGTGTACTAAATAGTCAGATGCAATTTAATGCCTGGGTGTAATAGTTATTTTAACTTAGAACTTTTTGCTATGCACTTTTGGTGTTACTTATTGTTTAACGACATCAAAACACATCTTCACACACACACTTTTATACTCTAAAACACGAAAATATAAGTTATTGTAAGGAAACTGACACAATTCAGTGTAGTTAGTAAATCAAACATACAGACAAGAAAGATCATTAGTATGAACGTAATAACATATTTTGTTTTTTTCTTAATGAAATGTTTTAGTTATGATCTTCAAATTATACTTATAATTGTTTGTTTGTTTTGAATTTCGTGCAAAGCTACACGAGGGCTATCTGCGCTAGCCGTCCCTAATTTAGCAGTGTAATACTAGAGGGAAGGCAGCTAGTCATCACCACCCACCGCCAACTCTTGGGCTACTATTTTACCAACGAATAGTGGGATTGACCGTCCCATTATAACGCCCCCACGGCTGAAATGGGGAGCATGTTTGGTGGGACGGGGATTCGAACCCGCGACCCGCAGATTGCGAGTCGAGTGCCCTAACCACCTGGCCATGCCAGGCCCTATACTTATAAAGATCATGTTTTACATTGGTGGCTCAGTATGTGGATTTATGACTAACCTTAGTCGCTTAAGTTGACCAAAGCTCGTGAGATATTATTGGGTTTACGGCCGAAAACAGAGAGGATAGTCAACTGACGAAACAATGCATTATAATCTTTAAAGGTTTTTAGATTTCTAGTGTATTGGTCTATGATATTTAATGTCTCTAGCGAGTTTTTAATACGGAATTGTATTCACTAATGTATATGTTGCCTTTAAATGATTTTACTTAAGTATTTAGTGATCGGTTCGTAGTTAACATAAGTGACAAAACACCAAAGTCCATATTTCGGTCTACTGTAGTCTGCATATTTCAAATTAAACATCGACATTTATAACTGTATTATATATTTGTCGGAGTTATTGACCGATATTATTATGAGTATAACAAACTGTAGCCCAAGGACTATGAATTAGCTTTTAAATATTTTACTAACAAAACATTAAAAATCCATAACCAGGCAAGGTGCCTTGGTGAATTTATATTAATCCAAATAGCAAGACACACTTCAGGAGGAAACTCGTGCTCTATCAGTTGTAAGATAACACATTCACTGTTTCAACTTGTAAATTATGTAATTCATCATGTGGTAAGTATCCATTATCAAGGAAACTTTCTGTCTGTCTGTGGAGTTGACTGATCCAGACCAAACTTAGCATGCTGACATCTGATTTTGAAAAAAAACTAGATGACTATAACATTTTTAATGTAAGTTTATAATAAAGAGTTTAGGATTCAAGTCTTGACTGTTTAGAGTAAATGTAGGGTAAACATGTGACCTATAACTCGTGTTGACACATATAACCTATGACTTGTTTTGACACATGTAACCTATAACTCGTGTTGATAACCTATAACTTAGGTTAACTCATGTAACCTAAAGCTTGTTTTGACACTGTAACCTATAACTCATGTTGACACATATAACCTATAACTTAGGTTAACTCATGTAACCTAAAGCTTGTTTTGACACTGTAACCTATAACTCATGTTGACACATATAACCTATAACTCGTGTTGACACATATAACCTATAACTTGTTTTGACACATGTAACCTATAACTCGTGTTGACACATGTTACCTATAACTCAGGTTAACACATGTAACCTATAACTTGTTTTGACACATGTAACCTATAACTCGTGTTGACACATGTTACCTATAACTCAGGTTAACACATGTAACCTAAAGCTTGTTTTGACACTGTAACCTATAACTCATGTTGACACTGTAACCTATAACTTACGTTGACACATATAACCTATAACTCGTGCTGACACATATAACCTATAACTCGTGCTGACACATATAACCTATAACTCGTGTTGACACATGTAACCTGAAACTCGTGTTGGTTACGCTAAGAGTGAAGTTTTTGTACTTAAGATAAGTCCTCATCTTAAAAACAAAACTTGAATGATAGCACTAACATCTTACGCTTAAAACATTATAGAGACCTTAATATTCTGGCAAATGTCTTCACATTAAAATTTCGGTCCATGTTTCCATGTTAATGTCTGTGTAAATATCTTAACACTAAAACATTAAAGAGAACTTAATATCTCGGCAAATTTCTTCGTGTTAAAGTCTCAGTAGACTACCTTTTATGTAACTTCTGATCAAAATTTACAGTAAAATGTTTGTACGCAACCTTAGCTTTACACTTTCGGTAGTTTACATCTTCTTGTAAAAACATGCTTTGTTACCCAGTTGCAGTTTGTACAAATGAGGTGACCCCATTTTCATCATACATTAATGTAGATTGTTGTGAATGATTTTTAGTAAAACTGCCGTTGAATTATACCTACTTGAAAAGCTCTCCCTACTTCAATAAATATAGGTTATATAACAGTGTGGTAGTCTATTGTTTGACCTCGTGACGTCAGTTGAGCCACGTAATCTACTCAAAGACAGACACAAAATAACTTAACAATAAAGTCATACTTTGTTCTAGTTCTCGTTGTTGTTGAGAACACTAACAGATAAGAGAAAACTAAGCTAGAGTTTTTCGTCTAAGCCTTGTTTAGAGCTTTTCTTTGAATGACGTCACTATCACAAACAACAAATGAACAGTGCACGGTATGCTATATAACTAAAATTATAACCACATATAAAGGATTATAAGTAATAGTGTATTTTGTAAACAGAAATCCGTTTCAATATACCAATGAGGAACCTCATAGTGTATTCTAGCATCTGAGAAATTATTAATGTGTACTGCTTGTAAGTCGGTCAAGAAGGGCGTTGACATGTATTCTGTAAAGTATATGTATCATTGAAATCGATCTGAATTTTAGGTTAGAGATTGAAAAACAGGAATGGCCACTGCAAGTTTTGTCTAAGGTGGAACAGGACATTACCCTGACACCAGTTAGTGAAAGGTATCTATAAAACAGTAGGCAGAGGTGACTTTCTAGTTTAGGAGGAACTAGAGCAACGAGAGGGTGTTTTTAGTCGTGTGATCCGGGACTGAACAAACAGTAAGGGAAATAACGATGCTTTCAGCGGTAAGTTATACCTCTAAGTAAAAACCCGAAAGAGATTTCAAAATTCTATCGCTTAGATTGTTATGTAATCGTTTGTTTTACGTTTGTTTTTTAAATTTCTAACATAGGCGTTGTTCTGCGAAACAAACTTTTGTTGTTTACTTTTTATAAATAAATTCTACTTGTATAGAACAAGCTAATCTGAAAGGGTTCTGTGTTAAGATAAAGACTTTTCTTTAAAAAAATGATTATCTTGATACTAAGAGACCTACTCGGCCAATATGGGTATACTTAGTACTCAACTGTTATTAGTTATGGATCTTTTACATAAGATAGTGTATTAAAATTATCACATGGGATGTGAAACTTTTCTAATGATGACATGATAAATTCTTGTCACGAATCAATTTGGAATTAGTCAATGTACTCGTGTAACACGACTTAAGTTATTTAACTAAATAATGGTTGAAGAACAAGAGTTTAGTCTAAATTGCTGTTCTGCTAAATACGTTCAATGATTTAGTTAAATTTGTTTGAAAAAGTATTGCCATGTCTTCAAACGATATATCTAATTGTGTGTACAATAATATATTAATTAATTACGCGTAAAATATTTAAATGGAATACAATATTAAGTTTAAAGTTTTTTAGCAAATATTTACGACAGAATGTGACACCTTGAAATTATGTACAATATTATTAAATATATTAACGTTTATAATACTCTTAAATATTTAATAATTACTTGTTTATATCAAGTTATCACAATTTGTCATAAGCTATTTTCCCTTTGATGCTTTCATTGACGAGTCGGATGTGGTCTATTGGCAAGAGTGCCAGACTATAAAGCCGAGGATCTATGGTTTGCATCCCGTTGCCCAAACTCTCGCTCCCCAGTTTAAGGTCGTGGGAGTGTTATAAAATTGACAAGAGATACTATTGACGAGCTAGCTGCCATCTCGTTGTGTGGCTTTACGGAAACATCCGAATCTCCTCACGTTCTTTAGACATATAAGAGTGTTTCCGATTCAAACATTTCCTGTATAAATAAATTAAAAATCATAGTTAGCATTTTCATCTTCTTGCTAAATAGTTTATATCTCGAACCAGATTTAACCAAATAGTCAAAGCGATTGCTTGTCACCATCGGTGTTTCGTCATATAACGCATAAATTCCAGATAACTTTTGACGATATAGCGATTCATGAAGGGTTCCGTGACTATCGCCATCTAGTGGTACCTTTACAAGTTGTGAGTTGGACTACTTTTTTACCGCTCATAACTTGCTTATCCTTCGGATTCACGACTAGGGTATGGAACTGATTTACTGTTTCGTTACAAGTTACTTAACCGTGTAAAATTAGGCCGACATTGTATCTTGTGTTAATTCACGTTATATGTGTTTGTCCACGAAGTATTAGGTCGTCAAGAAATTAATACTTTTTTTTAGATGAAAAAACACGAAGAACTTATATATATATGTTAAAACAAAACATTTATTAAATGAAATAGTCTACATTCTTATCGATGATGCTTTTCCATCTTACAGTCAGGTTGTTGATGTCCTGATTAAAGAAATCACTTGGCTTTGAAGCAAAAAACATGTCAATGTCCTCTTTAACACCTTCCCCATTTGCACACGTTTTCCCATTAAGATGGTGTTGCAGCTAACGAAAGAGATGGTATCATGGTGCCATATCTGGAGAATATGGTGGGTGGAGGAGAACTTCTGAACCCAACTCCATAATCTTGTGTTGCGTCAAACGTGCCACATGTGGACATGCATTGTCGTGGAGAAGAAAAACACCTTTCCGATTGACGAGTGAATGGCATTTCTGATTAAGGGCTTGATTTAAACGTTCCAGTCGCTGACTATAGATCTCTGCATTGACAGTTCGCTGTGGATTGGGGAGTTCGCAATGAATTACTCCTTTGATGTCCCACCAAATGCAAAGCATCACTTTCTGCGGATGGAGTCCAGGTTTTGGAGTCGAAAGTGGTTTTTGTGTAGGACTGAGCCATTGATTTTGGCATTTAATATTCACATAGAGAATCCCTTTTTCATCACCGGTGACAATTCTGTCCAAAAATGGTTCAAGCGCATTATGCGCCAGAAGAGGCGAAGCAACATCCACATGTTGGAAATGATGATCATTGGAGATTTCGTGAGGCACCCAAACACCTTCTTTATGGAGTTTTTCCCATATTCCA